TGGGACAGTACTTCCTCAGGGATTCTGGAGTAGTGGCCCTGGTGTGTGTGCCTGAGAAGATGATGTCAGACTGACAGCGCAGGCTGCTCTTGGTCCTCACTGTGGGATCTTCAGGCCAAGGCCTTCAGTCTGTCCTTTGGTCCCTGGCAATTCTAGGTTGTCAGTAGACCTGAGGGTTCTAGTACACTGAATACCACACAGGGGCCTCAGCTATGCTCAGGCCTATGGCAGCCCTATAGGGTTGGCATCCATCCACTGTCACTACAGTCTTGTGAAGGTGGCAGCCCATTTTACAAAGGCAGGAACCACCTAGCACTGTTGTTCATATTGTCGGAGGAGGCTCCACTGAGCTATCCAGGAGGCACTGGCTGGCAGGCAGTGTGGCTGTAAGCCAAGGGCTGCTGTTGTCCTCCTGACCAGACATGGCAGTTGCTGGCTCAGCTGGCAGCTGAGCCTTGGGGATATGGTGGTGGTTTGGGGTGATGCCACTGGGCCTTGTATGGACACAGAAGTCCCAATCCCCAAGACTCGGTTGAGACCAGGCAATAGCAGCTTAACTGCAAGGCAGTCTGTCTGGGCTGGGTTGGGTTGAGGGGCCTGCAGGCCCCATAAGGTAGTGATCAAGGGGGTCTTCAAAGGGGAGATGACTTTTGACTGGCCTAGACAGAAGAGTAGGAGTTGCTTGGCAGAAGAACAGGGTAGCCGAAGCGTGGTTTCCACTGAAGCCTCTGCAGAACAGCAAGCTTGGGGCATTTCAGGAAGGGAATGTGTAGTTGTAAGGTGTTGGAGAGCCTTCCTAGCTAGAAGGTTCCTGTCACCTTAGGGCAAGCTGTGTGCACCAGAACCCTTTCAGCTGGGTGGGGTGGGGTGGGGGATAAGGGCTTAGAATCAGAGAAGGTGCCCAGGTTTAATCTGCAGTACCACATAAAACCAGGTATGGGACACATTACCTGTGATTCCAGCACTCTGGAGGTAGAGACAGGAGGATCAGAAATTCAAGGTCTAAACACAGAGTTTGAGACCAGCCTGAGATACAGAGGCTCAATGATAATAATAATGATAAATCAATAGAGAAGACAGCATGTGCATTTTAAAAAGAAGTTTGCGTTTTTAGAAAGAGGAACTTGCAGAATGGTCAATATTTAACCCAGAGGCCTGATCATCACTAGGAAAATTGGGAGAAGACAGAGAAAGAGGCCCCTTAGGGCTACTAAAGTCATTCCATGAACACGAAAGGCTCTCCTGGTACCCCTTCATAACTCCTTAGGGCCCAGTACCCCTTCACACCTCCTTAGGGCCCAGCACCCCTCACACCTGCTTAGGGCCTGGTACCCCTTCATGCCCTCTTGGGGCCTGGTACCCTTTTATACCCTCCTGGAGCCTGGTACCCCTCATATCAGCCTGGGGCATAGTACCCCTACACACCCACCTGGGTCCTGGTACCCCTACACACCTGCCTGGGTCCTGGTACCCCTTCATATCCTCCTGGGGCCTGGTATCCCATCTTACTTGCCTAGGTACTTCATACCCGCCTTCACATCTGCCTGATGTGAAGAGGTACAAAGCCTTAAGCAGAGCTCCTGCTGGAAAGGGTGTGACCTGCCCTGGAAGTCCTCAGGGTCTGGGAGGCAGAGTCCTGACCCCAACACAGTTTAATCATTAGGGGCCCCTCTTGTGGTGGAGAAAGGGAGTCTGAGGAGGTGCTATACAGTTGCCCCAGGCCAGGAAGTGGCCAGGCCCTCCCCCTCCTGAGACATTTCCTCCAGATGAAATCACACCCCAGCAGGGGAACAGGCCCCCATTGTGATGGGCTGGGGTCTCCAGAGAAAGGACGCCTTTTAGGCCCATAAAAATAGAAGCTTTAGGATTCATGAATCTGTACAGGGGATGCCCGGCTCCCCCCTCCTGTGACCTGGTGGTGACCAGCTGAAGATTCCAGCCAGGGGTTCACACGCACTCTCTCAGCCTTCCACCCCCACAGACACACTCTGGCATTTGTCCAGCGTTGTGAGGGTTCTGCAGACCTTCTCTCTTGGAATTCTGGCTGGAACTTTAAGAGGGAAGCATAATCGGCATTTCACAGATGAGGAGACTGAGGCACAGCTAGTAAGTTACACAGTTGGGTGGTAGATGCTAGACTTAAACTCCTGGGCCTGGACTCCCACCTACTGAGCCTAGGACCTTGTGTTAGCTGCCCTGAGCAGAAGCTGGAGGAGACCTTGGAGGGGTATGGAGCCCCCATGCCAGTAACAGGATGTGTGTGGGGTCAGTGCCTCAAAACTGCCACATGATAGAAAGGCCCTGGTGCTGACCACAGCTGTTAGCCACAAACTGGTCATCGTCTCACCCCCAGAGCAGAGGCTGCTATTGGCCCTATCATTCCAATGTTTTGATGGTCCTGCAGTCACAGCTACACGTTCTGAGGCCAGTCTTGGCTCACTGTTCCAATCTGTGAGCTGGAGAGGGCACTGCAGGCCCTGTAAAGCCGGGCCAGAGTTCTAAGTGAGAGTACTAGGGTGTTGGGCATCTAGTTAGCTACAGTGTCAGTCTTTCTAGACTTCTTGAGGAAGGGTGGGAGAGAGGAGATGCCCAGTGTGACTGAGAAAGGGCTGTATTCTGCATGAGATGATGCTCTGGGTTGCTGGCAGGGGCAGGGCAGATAGCACTGGTCTGGATGGGTAGGGCCCTTGCTGACCAGCCTCTCTAGGCAAGCATGGCACTGCATCTCCCCTGGCCTGATGAGGATGAAACGCAGGGCCTCAGCAGGCAGGGGCCCCATACCCGCCCGCCCTTCTCACTGGGTGCATTGAGTGTGTGTGTGGTGGTGGAGTAGTCTCACCTCCAGCTTCCCACTGTGAGCTTCCTGCAGACAGGGAGAGAACAGGTACACCAGCTGTTGGCCACTCTGCCTGTCCCAGCCTTGCTGCCACCCATGATGCCCCAGCTCTGTCCCATCCCAGTCCTCCAAACTCTATAAGCTGTGTCCTGGCTGTGCTGCCTGGCCCATATTTTGCTCCAGCCCTTGCCCCGTGTCCACAGTAGACCTCCCAACCCCCGAGCCACCCCAGCAGCAGCTGCATCTTCACTTCCCACCCTTCTCCTGCTTCCCACAATCCGCTTGACTCCTCCTTGAGAGTGGGATGATGTCACTTCCTGAGGGGGCGTAGGCACGACCCCAGTAGGCTAGCCCAGCCGCTGCTCAGGCAGCCAGCTCTGCTTCTGGGCACCCTCCTGGGAGCATGCAGTGGCTGCTCCTGGGAGATAAGCCCAGCAGAGCCTGACCTGACATGACATGCTGCCCAGCCACCTGGCCCCGTACCCCCTTGTCCACCGTCAGGGCTATGGTCACTGGTCTAAGAAAGCTTGCCTGGTTCCTTTCCCTAGTGAGTCCAGTCTCCACATGCACACATTCTCCTGGGAACTGTCCTCAGGGAGAGGAGGACCTACCGCCCACCCCTGGACCAGGTGCCATGTAAGCCTCTGTTGGCCGTGGCGGGGAAGCTAGTGTACCCCAGCCCTCTATGGTAGGAGTTCTTCTTTGCACAGGGCAGCTGCTGGAGCAAGTACTGTATCTCTGCTCAGACCAGCTTTCCACTTACTGAAAGGTTCAGGCATTATGCTGGCCTGCCCCTGTTACCTGGTGGAACAGGCAGTACCCTGGTCAGCCCAAGGTTCCATGGGAACTAAGTCTGCATGCAGGTGCAGAGGACCCCTTTAAAAGATAGGCCCCTGCCCATTTACGCTCTCTGTTTCCTCTGTTCCCCCGCTCTGCTTTGTCTCTACTCTGTCTCCCACCTATGCTCTCGCTCTGTCTCTCTATGGCGACCGGCCATGGCGGTCAGCCATTACCCTGTTCCTCTTCTCTTAGTCTCCCCCTTCTGCCGGGCCTTATAATAAACTTACAGCCTTATGTCTCATGTCTCAGCATTTCTCTTTTCTTCTTTTTAAACAAAAGAATAACACTTACGCCACCACTTTTTTCTCCCAGATCCAAAGGAGGCCCCCAGCTCCTGACCACCACTCCTGGGCTTGTTGGTTGCTGTTTTGTATCCAGCTACTTCAGAGAAATAGGCACCGGGCAGTGAAAGCTATCAGGCTAGGAGTGAGTGTGTCAGAGCGGCTGCTATTCTCACAGTGAGGGGCAGATGTCCCTAGCCACAATCTGGACCCACGCTTCCGCCACAGCCTCCCTTGCTCAGAACCATGACAGTGGCTCAGAGTTTTGTCGGATGGGTGCAAAACCAAGTCAGACCACACTCCCGGCTCAATGGGCTCCAGCGAACAAGAAACCAAAGACCTCACTGTGCAAAGACTTACTGAGAACTGCTACATGCTGGCATCGTCACCCTTGGTGTTCATCAGTCCCAGCCATCACCACTCACATACTCCTCTCACACCCTCCTCAAGCCTTTAGCATTCCTCCCACTCTACAGGGCTCTGTGCTAAGGGACACTTGTTCTTGGTTTTGGAAGCCTCGGCCCAGATCTTTGAGTACTGGGCAAATTTCCTTGTTGAAAGACAGCAAGGGCCCTGGGTGGCTGAGCATCCCATTGATCCCACATAGGGGAAAGGAGAGAATGAATTTAGGGTCTTTGTCTTTTGTTTTTTTTTTTTTTTTTTTTGAGACGGAGGCTAGCCTCAAAGTCATGCTCCTTCTGTTTTGTCTTCCAAGATCTGAGATTTCAGGCTGGCCAACCAGAGCCTAGGCCTTCAGAGGAGCTGAGCAGTTACTATGGGAATGACCTTAGGCAGTAGCAATCTGGTGGGTGGGCAGGAGTGACCTCAGGGGTCACTGCTGAGACTGGTGTCCTATTGCTAAGGCCTTTGTTGTTATGGGACTTGAGAGGGCACGCACGGGGCAGCTTCTACCTGGGTCAGCATCCCTGGTGCCTGGAGGCCCATTAGCCATGGGTAGGGGTTGGTGCCAACACCCAAGATGCCTGTGCTGCTGACACTTGGTAGTAGCCCGGGAAGCTCCAGGGTTCTCTTCTTGCTTTCAGGAGGTGAGCGCCAGGCCCGCTGAACCTCCCAGAGCCGCCAGCCATGCCCGGGATCGTGGTGTTCCGGCGGCGCTGGTCTGTGGGCAGCGATGACCTCGTCCTGCCAGCCATCTTCCTCTTCCTCCTGCACACCACCTGGTGAGTCCTAGAGCCGAGGCCACAGTTCTGGGTTTGAGGAGAAAGGTCTAGAAGGGAGTTTTCTAACTCCCTGTTCCTCCATGCCAGGCCCAAACCTGACTCTGTCCTGCTCCCAGGCACTCCTCTAGGTATTCCCACAGGAGTCAGGACCCCTCCTGGCCAGCAATCCTCCTGACTGTGGCAGTGACACAGTAGTTGCCATCATCTCCCCATGCTGACAGGAGGGCACCTCAGAGGCACCCAAAGCTAGGTGGACAGTTATTTTCTGGGGAGATATCTGCCTCCCTTTCCTCCTATGAGCTGCCCTGGTTCTGCTAGCCATGGACAGCACAAGGCACAGAGGCAGCCCACCCTTGCTCAGTTGTACTCTTCTACAGGTTTGTGATCCTGTCCGTGGTGCTCTTTGGCCTGGTCTATAACCCACACGAGGCCTGCTCCCTAAACCTGGTGGACCACGGCCGCGGCTACCTGGGCATCCTTCTGAGCTGCATGATTGCCGAGATGGCCATCATTTGGCTGAGCATGCGTGGGGGCATCCTCTACACAGAACCCCGGGACTCCATGCAGTACGTGCTCTACGTGCGCCTGGGTAAGGGACCGATTGCCAGGGGCTGGGGATGTTCTAGAGCCCCACACCCTTCTCCTGCACCCATTCACTTCCTCAGGTTTTGCTTGCTTGCTAACACAAACTAAGACCCACCATGGGGAGCATGGGGTGCCTTACTAGACTGACATTCTAGACACAAGGGCCCAGTCCAGCCCAGCAGCTGTTTTGTGAATCTTCATTGGGGAACACACTGTGTTGTTTCTTGTCCTTTGGTACCATAATGGCAGAGCTGAGAAACTGCTTTTGTAACTAGATGGCTTCAGAGTCTAAAATGCTTGTCCTTTTGGCCCTTCATAGACAAATTTAGTTGACCCCTGTTTGAAAATGTGAGCTTGTCTGCAAAGTGCATTGTTGACCCTTCTGAAACAGATCAGGGTTTAACCCTTCTGAGGGTCAGGTTAAGCCAGCTCCCCTGAGGACCAGCCTATATCTCTTTTGGACCATGTCCTAGCAGCCTCTATGATATTCCTAGAGAACATGTCTCTCAAACTTCTCCACAGATCATGGGGAAAAGAACAAAAACAAAAACAAACAAACAAAAAACCACATTAGTTTGTTTTGTAGAGGAGGACACTGAAGCCCATGAAGACTAATTAGCTCTTTCAAGGTCACACGGCTAAGTCATGATGGAAGAGTCAGAGCTGGGATTTGAACCCATGCATCTGTCTAGTCCATAGTCTAGGCCCTTAGCTACTATTTGTTGCTGGCCCTGCCAGGCTGTCATATTTCCTTCCCACTTCCACTGGGGCTCTGGGTTTAGAATACTGAGTGCATGGGCCACCATGGGTTGGCTCCTGGGACTCCTCTCTCGTCCGTCTACCCTACCAAAACAAGTTCCTAGGTCTGCTGAGAAACAACAGTTTTCATGAGTTCCAGTCTTCAATGTCCTGTGATGAAGTTATTGGCATTCTCAAATATGGATGAGAAGATGGAAGCTCAGAGAGATTAGTAACTTGCCTAAAATGAGTCTGATTCCAGAGCTCATACATGAAATTCTGAAATCCCCAAGAAACTGGGGAGTGCTGCTTCCTTGTTCACCTGTCCAGTCAGAGTCTCAGGGAGGCACTAGGGACTTGAGAGCTCAATGCAAGGGACCTAGCTAGGGCTCTGTGCACCCCTGTTGTGAGATGGTTAGAGGCCTGGCAGCAGGAGCCAGGCTTAGGGCTCTTGGGTCCTCCCCTGGTGGCAGACAGTGTGGCCTTTAGTCAGACCCTACCTCTTCTTGCAGCCATTTTGGTGATCGAGTTCATCTACGCTATCGTGGGCATCGTCTGGCTCACGCAGTACTACACCTCCTGCAATGACCTCACTGCTAAGAATGTCACTCTCGGTATGCACCCCACCTGCCCCATCAGCTGAAGCCAGCCCTAGGGTGCAACAGGACCCAGCTTGCAGGGGATGGGGCCCAGGCACCACTGTAGGGAGACACCCAAGCATGGACGAGTCCTTCACCCTGTGTTCTGTTATCTCACTCGGGGCCCTTGCCAGGGTGAGCAGCAGTGGAGACAGGACTGTCCAGGCAGCATTAGGGCTTCTCAACACCTCCTCAAAAGCCCACTGAGCTGCCTGCCCTGTGTCATGAGTGGGCCTTGGAGACCAAAGACTGCTCTTTGGTCTTAGGAGCATCTGGGGACACTGAGCTACAGTGTCTCTTTGTTCAGAGCTCATGACTCCAGGAAGGTGAACCCAACATCAGTTCTTTCCTCTCATTGCAACTGCCAACAGGAATGGTTGTCTGCAATTGGGTGGTGATCCTCAGTGTCTGCATCACTGTCCTCTGTGTCTTTGACCCCACGGGCCGCACCTTCGTCAAGCTGAGAGCCACCAAGAGGAGGCAGCGAAATCTGCGGACTTACAACCTGCGGTCAGTTGACTGGGTAGGCGGGTGGTGCCCTGGTGGACTTTGCAAACTGGTGGGCAGGGGAGGGTCCTGTCCCCTCCCAAATCACACGTCAACATAATGTGAGCCACCGCTCTCCGTGAAAACTTCACCCTCTCTCTGCCTCAATTCCTTTGTTGAAAAAGTAAGGCTAAGATGGCAGTACATGCCTTTCACCCTAGAACTCAGTACTAGGGAGGCAGAGGCATTCAGATCGGTTCAAGGCCATCCTAGTCTACAGTGAGTTCAAGGCCAGCCAGAACTACACAATGAGCTCCTGCCCCCCCCCCCCAACACACACACACTGAAAAAAAAGTAAGAAATAACAGTTCTTGGCTCAGGATGTCATTGTGAGATTTTTTTTTTTTTTTTTTTTTGAGACAGGGTTTCCCTCTGGCTTTGGAGGCTGTCCTGGAACTAGCTCTTGTAGCCCAGGCTGGTCTCGAACTCACAGAGATCCCCCTGCCTCTGCCTCCTGAGTGCTGAGATTAAGGGCATGCGCCACCACCGCCCGGCTGTCATTGTGAGATTTAAGTGAGATAATATACGCCAAGTGGTTAACACTATGGGCTGAGTTAATGGGAAGCTACTGTCAGGGATCAGTCTTTTATGGTAACAGCAGGAGACACAAGCATTGTTTAGAGCATTATGTCTTCCCTATAACGGGTGGAGAAACCAAAGGACCAAGATTGCCTGGTTATGTGGTAAGGCTGAGAACTAGCTCTCAGCCTGACTTCGGAGTCCTTACTTGACAATCAGGTGATGCTCCCTCTAGGTCCCAGAAGTTGTAAGAAGTTAATCACAGAAGGCTTCCGGGAGGAGATTTTACCTGGTGCTTAAAAGAAATGGTATGGCAGAGAAAATGAGAGAGGGTGTCCAGCACGTTCATAGTGACTTCTTTAGTGAAAGCAAGCGAAGTTCCCAGGATGAGTCAGTCACAGTACAGTAGCCCCATAATCAAGCTTCTCCTGTAAGGCCAGCCCCACACTTAGCCCTTTATGATTAATCCAGCTAGTTCTTTTGCTATTCCAGAGCAGCTGTGAGACCCCTTCTACAGATGAAGGATCTGAGTCACTGCCCCAAGCCACAGGAGAGCAGGCTGCCAAGACCCCTGCCCAGTGGGTCTGTCCCCCACCCCCACTAATGCCTCAGACCTTCCACGTCAGCCCATCAACTTGTCACTGCCTCCAGCACCACACCCATGCCTGGTCTGGCCACCTCCCAGCCTAAAATGTCAGGCCTTGGAGCCAGGGCTCAAGAGCCCATTTTTCCCTCCCAGTGCAGCTGGCCACCTCCTCCTGTCCCACTTTGCCGGCTCTGAGCACATGCCGAATCAGACCTGTTTCTGGAGAAAACTCCCTTCCCTTCCTGACTCTGAGCCTTTGGGGCTCCAGGCAGTAGGAGCCTGTAGGGCAGGGCCTGGTGCTTGCTGTCATTTTAATTAGGAAGCTCCCTGTGGTTTCCAGGCCCTGTCAGAGGCCTTAGCTCGAAGGCCCATGACCTGCTGTGGTTTCTACAGGTCTGCGAAGCTGGGAGCACAGCCTGGCCGCAGGCTTTGTCAAGCTGACCCCCTGCCTGAGTGTCCTCCACTGGCTCTAAAACTAACAGTTTTTCTAACAGGGACATTTTTCAAGCTATCAACTCCCAAGGGCAGGGATGTGCACACCCCATCTGCCACATGGCTAAGTTATTTTGGTTTCTGAAAGCTGGGAGTGTGTCTAAGTTTTTGGTTCTTTCTCTTTCCAGTGAAATCTGGTGAGGACTGGGGAGGGTGTTATTCCCGGCTGTTTCCCAGGAGGCTTGGCCTCGGTTTTTGTAGAAGGAATGTCTGCCCCCTTTTCACATAGTGAATCTCCCAACAGAGGGCTGTTGGGGGGTCCATGAACTTTCTGTCCAGACTTGGTATGTGGTCTCCCTGGTGTGGTTGGTAGACTGACTGCACTTGACCAAACCTGTCAGTTTCTCACACATTCCTATTATCATCTGCCCCCTGGCGTTGATGAGAGGTACTTCAGTGGAGTGAGCACTTCTATCTGGCCAGAGGCTGGGGAGGGGATTTCACATCCTGTATTTGAAAGCCCAGTTGGATCAGAAAGCAAAAAGTATGTGATGCCCTAAGAACCCAGCATGGCCAGCTTCACTCTGTCTTTGTCAAGGGGAGTGGGTTATTGGTTTGGGATACAAGGCTGCTTCGTCTTCTAGGGACTGCAGGTCCCCCAGACAGCTGGTCCGTTACATCATCCCTAGCCCCTCCTGCTGCCTTCCTTTTGGTCAGCTGCCTATGTAGTCAGGGTTAAAGGAATGGGGAGCCATTCTTGTCTGCAGAGAGGAGCCAAGAAGCTCATTGAGAGCCAGTCTGTCACTCCTGGTGACCATAAAGTGCCTTGAATGCATCTGAGCGCCACCTTGCTCCCCTCTCCAGACCATCCTGTGGCAGGCTTTTAAGGGGGGCAGCACACTGCTCAAACCCAGTCAGCGTTTGCTGACTTAGTTTAGAGAGTTTGGAGATCTACACGGTTGATGCCAGGACTGTTATCTCTGTGCTTAAGCCACACTGATTTCCTGGGTACCCAGCACAGTAGTGCCTTTGTGGGAAAGTGGCCTGTTGTTCTGCCTCTGCTCCCTGGCTCCTGAGCCCCCAGTCTCCCCACCTGAGCTGAAGAGGGAGAAGAGAATGGGCGGGGCAACTGTGCAGGCAGTGTGTGTGCCCCACCCAGACAGCAGCTGTGAGGAACTGGGAAACACTGAGGCCTCATCCAACTCCCCAGATTTCCTCTAAGTGCTCAACCAGTTTCTGAAGTCCTTTGCTAGGAAGGGCAGAGGACAGCAAGGCCACACTGGCTAACATCTCTACTGCTTTTCATTTAAGCCTTTAGATGCCTGGCTGCAGAGGAGCCCCTACTTTGGATTCCCAGCTCTGAAGCCCCCAGGTCATGCCTATGGGCCAGTCTACTAAAAGTCAGGGACTAACCATCCCACAACAACTCACCAGGCTGGCCAGCAAGAGTCTTCAGGGAATACCCTGGCTAGCTGGCCACCCAGCTGTAACTAGCCTGCTGCCTACCCTCCCTCCCACGCCAAGGTCCGCTGGGGAGCTCTTTGGTGTGTCCTGGGAACAGACCATCCTCTTTTCATAACATCCTCTGGTCCTTGACTTCACATGTCAACTGTCTACCTTCACAGGCACCGGTTAGAGGAGGGTCAGGCCACCAGCTGGTCCCGTCGTCTTAAAGTGTTCCTCTGTTGCACCCGGACAAAGGATTCCCAGTCAGTAAGTACCCCGGGTTGTTTGTGTCACTCAGATCCTCTCCCTGCCACGCAGGTGCCTTTCACTCCTCTGGTAATGTTAGGTGGGTGGGGCCGGTAGGAGGTGGGGCTGTGATTGTGAGCACAGTGACAGCTTGCCCTTTCACTGATAGACTGCCCCACCCTGTAAAGCAGCCATTCACCTGTTTTATTGAGGAAACAGAAAATCGTGACGACTGACTTGATACCCTTAGCGCACAGTTTAGTTTAGGAGCAGAAAAGTAACACATGGCTAGCAGTGTGGATAGAGCTGGAAGGCCTGGGGTGCTGCTGTTGAGTGCTTAGTCTCGGGCTGGTGGCATACAGTCAGCCTTCATCTTTGAAGCTCTGAGGAGCAAGCTCAGCAGAAGGGAGGCACCACCAGCTAAGGGTGGTTCTGAGTTGGGGGACACGTCCCCTCAGTGTAGGGTACGGAGGTTCGAGGTCATCCAGCCCCACCCCCCATTTTGTAGATCAGGCAGCTGAGACCCAAAGTGATGGAATGATTTGCTCAGTATCACACAGCTAGTTAGTAGTGGAGCTAGAGAAGTCAGGAGACCACTCCTCCCTGGAGCAGGCAGCAAAGTGCCCGCCTCACATGCCCCCAGGAAGCCTGGAGTGGACCCTCCTAAACAGCACCCCCAGGGACCTTAGAGTGAGTAACCTAGTGGAAGAAAGCCCCAGTGTTCCCTGGCAGGAGGTGAGTACTTCTCGGGGCGTCCAGGGCTGCCTGTGAGATCCCTGGATCGTGGCTGCAGGTGTGTGGTGCAGAGGGCCAAGGGGAGCCCCGGCAGGAGGAAACGAGGCTTGCCTGGGTCTGTGAAGGGCACAGTCTTCTCCTGTGCACACCGCAGAGTCAGGGCCCTTGTGAGAAGCTGGTGTAAAGGTCACATGTGCCCAGAGCATGATCCTGTTAGACACAGACAGCCCAGGGGCAGATCCCATCAGAGCGATTTTCATCAGCCTGTATGTTGTTGCTAAAGAGCTAGACTTAAATGTCAGTCTTTAAAAACAAAACAAAACAAAAAAACCAGTAGTGTTTACATAAATGCCTGTATGTCCAAATCTGGCACCTTGGGCTGGGCAGCTGAGGCCGAATATTGTATTGGGTTCTGTGTGGCCCCTTAGAGGTTTGATCTTGCCACCATTGGCTCACTCAAGGGTGAGACCCAATGAGACAGAGTCAGTTGCCATGAGTTTGTTTCCCCTCCACCCTCTCCTGACAGGTTCAAGGCAGCAAAAGGCAGGGGAGACCCAGGACCTACAACCTGGCAGGGCTTGCCTCTGTCCTTTGCCTCCTACTCAAGGCTCAGGGCCAGCTCGAAGCCAGAGAGGCCACCGACTATAAAATTGTACTTCTTCTCAAGCACATTACAGGCCCACTGAGCTGAACCCCTGAGGAGCAGGGGGAGCTTGAGACCTGGGAGCCGTACAGAGCTCTTAGCTGAACTTCCAGGGCCACAGCTGGTGGGGTAGGGACAGCCAGGTGCTTTGTGTGGCTTCTGTGCTAGAGAAGGGCTGCCTGGACCTTGATTCTAGATATCTAGAGAAAGAGAAGAGGTAAGGGCTCAGGTTGACACTTGTAAGCAAAGGGTGGCATGAACTGTAGGACCTTAGTGAAGAGAAGAGGTCTGGGAGGAGGAGGAAGCGTCAGTAGCTAAGATGTAAAGGCCCAGAACCCAGAACAGGGTCCCCGGGTTCCTGCTGACAGGTTGACACTTGTAAGCAAAGGGTGGCATGAACTGTAGGACCTTAGTGGAGAGAAGAGGTCTGGGAGGAGGAGGAAGCGTCAGCAGCTAAGATGTAAAGGCCCTGAACCCAGAACAGGGTCCCCGGGTTCCTGCTGGACACAGCCATTGCCTGAGGGCCAAGCTGACCAGAATTATGGAGGCTCCTGATGAACCTGCCCCGGGGATTCACTCATGCTCTCTCTCTCCTTTCTCCTGCTGCCTTGCCACCGCCTCCTGCCTTCCCGGGCCTTGCTTGACAGGATGCCTACTCAGAAATTGCCTACCTCTTTGCTGAATTTTTCCGTGACCTCGACATCGTGCCCTCCGACATCATTGCTGGCCTGGTGCTGCTTAGACAGCGGCAGCGAGCCAAGCGCAATGCGGTGCTGGATGAGGTGAGCACCCCTAGCTCTCCTGTGGCCCCTGCTGAGGATCCTGTGGCATCCTCTCCCTCATGGGTCCCCAGGCCACTGTTTACTGCACATTGTCCTCTACTACTGTCCTAGCTGAAACCTTCAGCCAGCCATTCCACTAACTCCTGATAGGATGGCTTGTTCTCTGGACCACATGTGGTTGCTTCTGAGACCAGCCTCCAGGGACATCCTGATCACTAGGGTTGGATGATCAATGCCAGCTCAAGTGCTTCAGTCTTCTGTCTGAAGTTTGCCCTGCCCTCCTGTCCTCTCCAGCACACCAGTTCTGGTCTCTATACATCTCCCACAAAATCCCTTTCCCTCTGGGGTGGATCATCCCCTGGAGGTCAAAGGTCTGGGTAGAATGGGAGAAACTAGAAATACAGGGAAGTATGATTTTGGAAAACTGATGAACACTGGAAGAACTGCAAGCCTCATGCTCCTTCAGACCTCTGAAGCAGGCTGAAACTGAACTCCCTTCTCATCTTTGCATATGGACCACTGTCCATCTTACCATGCCTGTTTTCCAGGCAAACAATGACATCTTGGCTTTCCTGTCTGGGATGCCAGTGACCAGAAACACCAAGTACCTCGACCTCAAGAACTCGGTGAGTCAGAAATCTCTTCCTCCCCCCTGTGCTTCTCTAGACCACTTCCCTACAACTACATGGTGTGAGCTGACCCTACCACTCTTGCTCAACTGTCCAAGGAGTCTCTCTCAGATCAGATCCATAAGAGCCCTCACATCGTGATGTTTCTATAAGCAGAACCCTGAATCTCCTAGCCAAGCTCCAAAACGTTTGTTTGACCCTGGCTGCTGCCCTCATGATAGGCAGTGGGGTGTGGCATTGCCGTTATAAAGCCTTTTTAGCAGTAGAAACTTTCCTCAAACACCTTTAGTAGAAAGCTCATGTGTTACAGGGAAAGTGGGTCCCATGGTATGAAGGCCCAGCACAGGCCAACATGGCCTAGGGTGGAACCACAGCTGGTAGCAGGAGCAGTCAGCCTGGCCCAGGGAAAGCAAACTGATTTAGGTTCATCCCTGCTCCATGGCTTCTCTCTGCAATATGGAGCAAGTCCCTCCTCCTTAAAGCCTTAGATGTAAAATGCCCTAGGCGTACCTTGCACCCGGAGCTGGAGTAGGAGGAAGTGACCCATCCTAAATCCAGTCCAGCAAGGTGCTAGATACCCAGTGCCAATCACTGAGTCTGGAGAAGTTTCGGCCCTTGGGGAATCTGTCTTTAGAAAAGCCCCAGGCATCTTGTCTCCCCAATGCAGACATCATTTCACCAGCCACATACATATACAGCCGGTGCCCCTAGCCAGATGCCTGCCACTCACTAGGGCCTTGCCTGGCTGGCTCTTACCCTCTGTCCTGGGGGGAGGTGCTGAGGCTGCCGGTGCCCCGCCCTCCCCGTGCTGTCACCCAGGGTAATTGCCTCTGCAGCTACTGGCTCCTTCCTGAGTTCTGAAGAGCAGGCAGAGGGTGCTGATTGAGGCCTACCTGTTTCACTTCACAAGATGACTAATCACCCTCCTTAACTTTTACAAGGTGACTAATTCCCTCTAAGTGCCACAGTCCTGGTGCCCAGGGGCTGGGGACTGACCGACAGGCTTTCCTGGGACACTGCCATCCTGCTTCTGGACAGCTTATAGCACTGATACCAACCACAGCATCAAGAGCAGTTGTTGGGCAGCAGACTCCTGGGTTTCAAAGCGGCGCCTTTCTCTAACATGATCCCAATCTCAGGGAGACAGCCTCCCCCCGCCTCAGGAACCTGGGACTCCATGAGTCAAACTAGAGAGCCAGAGACATTTGGTGACATGTTTCCATGCCCAGCATGGCTCATCTTACTGCCCACAGCGAGACACCCCCAGCCACAGGTCCCAGGGCTTCGCAGGGTTCAGTTCCCCGGGGCCTGATTGCAGAGGCAGGGAGACTGACTGCCACTCAATCCCACACTCCCTTCCTTCTTGGGCAAACAAGCCAGTCCTCCCGAGTGATTTTTCTGTCCCCAAATCATGAATTCTAAGACTGTAGTGATAGGATAGGTCTCATCTTTATTCTGGCCTGGGTTCGGGGAGATAATTGGGCAAATGTGATCAGTGTTTGAAGGGGCTGCCCCTCCTCCACCCTGGGGCCCAGCAGCTGTCCCCCCCACTGGAGCAGGTAGGCAGGTTCCCACTTCAGGAACAGGTGGTGGCTGAGGTAGCAGGCAGGAGAGGCAGAAGTTACCACCCTCTGCGTCCTGTCCCCCAGCACGAGATGCTGCGCTACAAAGAAGTCTGCTACTACATGCTCTTCGCCCTGGCTGCCTACGGCTGGCCCATGTACCTGATGCGGAAGCCCACCTGTGGCCTCTGCCAGCTGGCTCGGTCCTGCTCGTGAGTACTCTATCTGTCAGTCCCCAGCCACATCAGCACAGGGCGGGGGGAAGGGATACAATGATGTGCTGGTACCCTCTTCCCTAGGGCTTCAAAACTACTATCCTGCCCCCTCCTCCTCTGGCCCCACCAAAGCAGCTTCTCTTCCATATGGTCTCTGGGCCACTCCCTTTCTCCTGCCTCCTTCCTGGACTAGAATCACACAGTTCTGCGTTTGAATGCAGACTTTGGGTTTGTAGCCTCGGGCAAGTCAGTGCACTTCTGGGGGCCTATTTCTGCATCCGTGAGGTGGGATGTTGACGCATCCATTTTTGAGATGCGATACTGCTGCTCCGCCTCCCTTCTCTGGGCCTTCCTCTGCCCCCTACAGCCACTCCCTTCTGAACACATCTCCCTTCTCTTGGCTCTCCCGTGCTCTGCCTTTCTAGAAGAAAGAACTTTCTTGGGAAAGGTCTACTCCATGGAGGTCTCTAGAAACTCACTAAGAAGGCATTTTTGAGAGGCTTTACCAGGCTCTGAGCAGAGAAAGACCTGGACCTAAATATGACCTGTAATTGGCTCCGCCCTCAGCCCCACCCAGGGGCAGGTCTCTGTGCTGCTTCTAAGTGGGCCAGAGAAGGGCTTTGGAAAGACCCTGTCCTTCTGTGGTGTCTCCACCCTCAGTCCATGACAGGCAGAAGCAGGACAGTTCCCTGGGCTCCCGTTCCAGAAAAGCTGACCTGATAGGACAGTACCTCTGTCCTCCATGGCCTGTCCTGGGGGACAGACGACAGCATCCACATCTGCTCTGCAGTGCCTCTACCTTCAGAAAGCTGGTGGCTCTTGGGACCTTGTTCCTCACCACCCCCAGCAGCTGGTCAGAGAGGACCAGATCACTACATGCTCCGCCCATCTCTGCCATATGTACATGGCTGTCATTTCCCCCTGCACTCCTGGGACACAGCTTGGAGAGAGAGATTCTCAAGATGAGCACTGGGCCAGGAGCCCCAAGGCCACCCACCCAGCAGGTGGACCTCCTTCATTTCTCGGGCTCCTGTGACCCTGGTTCTAGCAGGTGCTATCAGCCATTAGGACAGTTCAGAATTGTGGAGCCACAGGCAATGGGGCTCTGAGTTCTCTGGAAACAGTGGGAATATAAGCACCTGTATGAGCCAGTGCTGAAATGGCAGAGGACAGAGTCCTCAGCCTCGGTGAGGCACAATCGGGCCCCCTGTTGGAAGAATTGGCTTAGGGTAAGGTGGCGAGGAAGGACCAAAGCTGGGGGATAACTGGAGAGAGAGATGGCTGGGCACCGCTCTTAGCGTCTGCTGCTGCCTGCTGCTGTCATTTCCACTGACTCTCAGATCCTGCACTGAGGTTGTCTGCCCCAGCAGGTGAGACATCACCACTTTGCCAGGGCCTATTGTGTGTGGAGGGTGGATCTGGACAAGGGGCGTGACACAAGGGGCAGGCTGGGGTCTAGTAGCTTTGGGAAGTGGCAGGCAGTGATGGCTCTGACAGGAAGGAAGTTGAGGCTCAGCTGGACCATGGCTACAGAATCAGGAAGTGACATTACCAGGAAGGATTTGAACCCAAGTTCTGACTCTCCTCTACCTCATTAGAGCCTCCTGCTCAGCTGAGGAAAGAGGGGAGCTTCCTGAAGGCTTGAAGGTAGGAGCTCAGACCCTACCATGTGGGCCAAGCCTGCCACCACTTGGCCTGGTGGTATGGTGGCTTCTCCAGGCTCAGTTCTGGCAAGTGTATCCTGTTTATTGTATCCTGTGTATGGGGCAGCCCCACTTCCAAGCGCAGGCATTTCCGGGTCTCAGCTTGATGCTGAGATTTCTCGATGGGCCCTCTCCCTCTTGGGAAGTCACAGTCCCACAGGCGCTGCTCTGAGAAGACAAACACCTCACACTGAATGTCAATTCAAGACAGCTGCTGGCAGCCCTGTCACATTTGCTCCCAGCTCCTGGCACCCAATCTGTTGGGTTCTGGCTCCCTCTGGTGGCCTGAGAAACAGATGCATTTCTCCCCGACCCGTCCCCCACCCCTATCCCTAGCTAAGTGACCAGTTCAGCCCTGTAAGCTTACTCCTGTAAGCTCAGTAGGCTTGGTGCTAAGGGAAACGTCTGTGACTAGCAAAGAGCAGACCCTTTCCCGTGTAGCTCCTGCCAGGACAGTACACAGATGAGGGACTCAACGGCAGGTCAGAGCACATGGGTGCTTTGGACGGGACTGAGTGCTGGACCAGGCGTCATGTCAGGACTGGCCCTGTTAGAGAGGTAGCTGTGGCTGACCTCGATGTAGGGTCACATTTGGATGGAGACTAAAGGATATAGGTGGATGGGGTGCACAGAATCTGGTGAGGGGGCCAAGGCAGAGGAAGGAAAGGCAAGAGTGGGTATAGCTGAGAGGGGAGTCCGGGAGCCCGGCAGATAAAGCCAGATGGGGCAGAGCCTGGAAAGGACTCAGCCCTTTGTGCTGAAAGGGAGGACGTCCCTATGGGATCCTAAGAGGAAATGTGATAGTGGCTCCATGTGTCTTCAGAGGGTCCTGTGCTACCGAGTTGGTAGTGCAGGGGCAAGGGTGTCCAAGGGAGAGGCGGTCAGTCTCATGGAAAAGGACAGTAGGTGGGTTTGGTTTTAAATGCGAAGATAATGTAGGCTGGTGTGGAGTGGCTGAGGGGACTGGTATGATAGTCAGGAGTAGGGCTGACCGTACAGCTAAGGGGGGATGCTGTGTCCAATAAGGTGCCTTTGGGGGTCTGCTGGGGTCCAGAGTGGACTCATGGCAAGCACATGAAGTAGGGAGGTCCAGGCTAGAGCCAGGACCTTGGAAATGGAGGGCAAACTGGAGAGGAAGCTCAATCTGGGAAGAAAGAAGAGGGATGAGGTCTCCAGCCAAGCGGGGAAGGACCCATGAGTCAGGTGCTTGCTGCCTGGAGACCATGTGATGGACTGGTTCAGGCTTTGGGCCCTTAGGGGTCACTGGGGCTTAGCAAGGGTGAGTCAGGAGGCCTGGAGCCACTTCCAGAGAGGAGGGAAGGAGAAAGCTACCCCACTGGTGCTGACCAGCCCTGAGCTGTCTGCCACCCCACCCCAGGTGCTGCCTTTGCCCTGCACGACCCCGATTTGCCCCTGGTGTCACCATCGAGGAAGACAACTGTTGTGGCTGCAATGCAATTGCCATCCGCCGTCACTTCCTGGACGAGAACATGACTGCCGTAGACATTGTCTACACCTCCTGTCACGATGCGGTGAGGGGCCAGGCTGGGGACAGGAAGAGCTGGGGCCCGAGTTTTCTGAAGGCCCCTGGGGACCCAGGCCACCAAAGCAATTCCTCAGGCCAGTGGAGCCAGCTGTAGTTTCCAGCCAGCTGTATGTAGTCCAGAGATGGCCTCAGCCATTTTGGTGACCCAGACCCACACTGACTCAAGCTAGGTGGAGAAATAGATGCCAGTCCCATTCACTGTTAGGGCCTCCAGGTTCACCCTTAAAGAAATGGAAGAAACAGGAGATTCTGGGGAGAGGCAGTGAACTGGTATGATAGTCAGGAGCCCTTAAAGAAATGGAAGAAACAGGAGATTCTGGGGAGAGGCAGTGAACTATTTTGATTGAGCATAGGGGCTGCCTGAGACAGAGTGGAGTGGGAGGGCCAGAGACAAAGACTCCTCAGAAACCTCCAGGAACCCTGGATTTGGAAGGTGTTAGGGACTCTGTGGTGATTGGAGTTTCATTGACATTTCCCTAAGTCTGGCCTCATTCTGGGGTCACTTAGGCTCATGAGCTGGTACTCCTAGGTCTATGAAACACCCTTCTATGTAGCTGTGGATCATGACAAGAAGAAAGTGGTTATCAGTATTCGGGGAACCCTGTCCCCCAAGGTAAGCTAGCTACCCATGGCTGCCCCACAGGCCCAAGTACTTGTGGCCCTTGTCTGTCCTCCTCAGCCACCCTTATGTGTCTTTCTTCTTTCTCCAAGGATGCCCTGACCGACCTGACTGGAGATGCTGAGCGCCTCCCTGTGGAGGGACACCGAGGCACCTGGTTGGGCCACAAGGTATCAGCCTCAACACCCTGAGGTCCCCTTACCTTTGCCCACAACCCCAGACAGCACTCAGGTGCCTGCAGTTACAGGGATCTTCTCTCCCAGAGATCAGTCAGAAGGCTGTGGTCTTGTCTGCCTGCCCAGCCTGAGGCCTGGGGGCTCGGGAGCCTGGGGATTCAGGGGCTGTCCTAGAAGTTCCAGGACAGGCAGCTGGGGAGATATTGTACCTGTTTCTGTCAGGCAGACCTCCCTCTGGACTTCCATTTTCTCACTTGGAAAAAGCAATTCAAAATGAAACCAAAGAAGTACCCACAGGCCCCCACAGCCTGTGTTTTGAGGGCTGGACAGGGGCGCTGGCTGAGATCACTAGTTGTCTGGTCCCTGAGGCTGCCCACCAGCCCTGCTCTGTTTCTCTCACCCAGGGCATGGTGCTCTCGGCTGAGTACATCAAGAAGAAACTGGAGCAGGAGATGGTCCTGTCCCAGGCCTTTGGGCGAGACCTGGTGAGGAGTTTTCCCTGCCATCCCAAACACTAGCTCCTGTCCCTCCCTCCCTCATTCCCAACTCCTTCTAGCTGGCTCCACCCTGCCCCACCCTACCTCCCAGGCCCCCTCTTCTCAAAGTGTCCTTTCTCAGGACAGTCCTAACTGCCCTGTTGGTAACTGCAGTTACCAACAGCCTCAGAGTCAGGACCACTTGTAGGAAATTTTGCAGAACCCACTAACAAAAACAGCCACCAAGCAGGGAGAAGGCTGCAACTCAGCTGGGTGGCAGCCTCAGTCAGCCCATCCACTACTCCCTGTATGGGTAGCTCCTCAGGATGCTGCCAGCACCCATTCACTCCCAGGCCTCACAGACTCTAGGCTAGTGGTCAGGGTGGAGGGATGAGGTAATCAAAGGGTTATAACTAATCACCAGAGCAGTCAAAGGGAAAGTGCAATGCCTAGGAGGGAGGTAGCTGTTTCTGGAAAATCAGGGAGGGCTTCCTCAAGGAGGCAATTCTGAGCAAGGCTTTAGAGGATGAGTAGGAGTGCCTTCGAGAAAACAGACTCACTAAGCCTTTGCCCTATGAGGAGCTAGCTTAGCTCTCCCTCAGCCCTAACATCCATCCATGCAGGACAGCATGACCCCGGACTTTGAGAAGAGCCCTCATCCTCTCAGCGTCAGCTGGGAAACTGAGGCAAGGCTCTCAGGCATCTCTTGGTTCCCAGGGCCGTGGAACCAAACACTATGGCCTGATTGTGGTAGGCCACTCCCTGGGCGCTGGCACAGCTGCCATCCTCTCCTTCCTCCTGCGTCCTCAGTACCCGACCCTCAAGTGCTTTGCCTACTCCCCGCCAGGAGGCCTGCTGAGGTAAGAAGCTTGAGGCCTTAGAGCTAACTGGAGCAACTAGGACACTTGAAAGCTAAGGGCTGACTTGAGCTAACTGGGACTGGGAGCCAGTGGCTGGATGGGCAGCTCACCTGGAGATTTGGGAATGACACATAACAGTGCTTGGGTGGTAGGATGAGGACTTTGTAACATGCCAAGTGGATGCCCCTCCCCCCCAAAGATTGGGACTGGGAGCCAGTGGCTGGATGGGCAGCTCACCTGGAGATTTGGGATGAGGACTTTGTAACATGCCAAGTGGATGCCCCTCCCCCCCCAAAGACCTGTGGTAAAACACAGGCAGGAAGGGCAGAAATTGAAACCCAGCCTGGCACTATAAGCTCCATGGAAAGTCTCGACCCCAGGTACAGAATGGGGCCGCCCCTGGCAAGGCCCTGCTCTGGGCCTGAGCCCCTTTCCTTAACTTCTCCTACAGTGAGGATGCAATGGAGTATTCCAAAGAGTTTGTTACTGCTGTGGTTCTGGGCAAAGACCTTGTTCCCAGGTAAGTCCCTGTCTCTTGCTGTGGGCCTCACCCCACTCCCCATCACTCACATCTCATTCAGCTCCCCTCACCCTTCCCTAAGGACTCTAGTGTCCCTTCCCACTCTTGGTGGCCTTGTGGTGGGATGGACAGAGACAGTGTAGGTACCATACCTTCCTGAGTGGCCTCTCTGACCTGGCTTGCCTCCACATCATGACCCAGATGGACTTGTCTTCTTATTCCTGGGGGCCAGGTGCCCCCACTGCCCCCTCTCCAGCCCTTGATTGGGTCAGGCTGATGGCTCATCCCTTTCCACAGGATTGGCCTTTCTCAGCTGGAAGGTTTCCGCCGGCAGCTTCTGGATGTCCTGCAGCGAAGCACCAAGCCCAAAGTGAGCCCCCACCTGGCTATCCCTCCTGTTGTTCCCCACTGATCCCCAGGACAAAGCACAAGAGATCACAGCTGTGTTATGGACACTCAGCATCCAAGCTCAGCCCATCCAGTCCTTGTCATTGTGAGGAAACTGAGGTCCAGTGTGGAAGGGACTTTGCTCACACAGTAAAGCTGTCATGGTGTCAGAACTGGAACTAAGGGGCTCCTCCTGCACAGAGCTGCCCTACATGAGAAAGGCGATCCCTGAGGGCAGGCTCAAGGAAGGCTGCTGTCCCATATGGAGGGTTTATGCCCAGCTTCCACTATTCTGTGGAGCTAGGAGAGAGCCAGCTTATTCTAACACATACCAGGTCATGGAAGATCCTGGAGGCCCTTTCTATGCAAAGAGACCTTCACTCCCAGGTGGTGGGGTGGGGCATGCTGTTGTGGCCAGACATCCTAGGCCAAAAATAGGAGGTCCTCTTTGATCAGAGGGTGCTCTGTGAGATAGCTGCCCCCTCCCAGGTGGGCCCTCACCCTCTTTCTGCTGCCTATCTGCAGCCTTCCTAGCCTTGGTGCCTATGACCCTCTGGCAGTCAGGACCCTGGGTCAGGTGTCAGGCAATGGGTCAGCATAGCTTTATGAAACTGTCTCCCTGAAGGAAACAGCGTCTGCTCCTCACAGAGCCAGGCCCAGGCATTCATCAGATCCGGGACCTGTCACACTGAGGCCTGTCCCACCTCTGCCTTGCACAGTGACCCAGAACAGATCCCTCCCCTCACCAAGTGTGTCTCCTACTCGCTAGATGAGGTCTTGGCTAGTCTTCCAGGCCCTTGCCAGCCCTGAAATGCAACAATTCTGTGTCATCTGTCCTTGGCATCTTATTGGCCACCTGGTCACCGTACACCTCAGCCGCTGCCTCTTCAGGCAGGCACAGACCTTTAATGCTCTGGCCACTGCCTCCATCACCAGTTCTCTCTTCTCATCTGTTGAGCCCCTCCTTTGTAAGCACCCCTGATCCTACCCACCTAGCCAGAGCTACTCAGCTCTATACCCCTCTCTCTGGCCCTATGTAGTGGCGGATCATTGTGGGGGCCACCAAGTGTATCCCCAAGTCGGAGCTGCCTGAGGACCAGGTGGAGGTGACCACCCTGGCCAGCACACGGCTCTGGACGCACCCCAGTGATTTGACCATCGCCCTTTCGGCTAGCACCCCACTCTACCCACCTGGCCGAATCATCCACGTGGTCCATAACCATCCTGCAGAACAGTGCTGGTAGGTGCTGATGGAGAGCTGGGCCGCGCCTGTAGGTGTGGGTCCAGGACAGGGGATGCTGAGGGCTGGGCCAGCCTCTGATCAGTTAACCACTCACAACTGGGGCAGAAATGGAAACAACAGTCCAGAACCCCTATAGCAGGGTTCCCCCAGCTGCTAGCCATGGAAAGGGAACCTAGCCCATGTTTGTCCCCAACAGGACTTTATGATTCTGTGTTTCTATGAAGGAGCCTAATCCTTGGAAGCAGTGTCCTCCCCTCACAGGGCCAGGGTCAGGCCCAGGCATTCATCAGATCCAGAAGCAGGTGCCAGGGACCTGACCCTGGTGGCTGTCCAGCTGAGTCAACCTGAGGCCTGTCCCACCTCTGACTTGCACCCCACTGTCAGCCCTTCACTGGTGTGCCCCCAAGGCAGCTCTTCCTATTCTTGATTCATTTAGGAATAGATGACCTATAGCAGCCACCTGGCTCTGGGCCAGCTCATACCTCAGTGCCCCTGCGTTAATTGACAGATACATGTGGGCAAGAATGTGGCCAAGGCAAGCACAAGAACAGGGTGCTAGTAGGTAGACTCTCAGAACCTTGGGCCCTGGACCCTCTTTCTTAACACAGTCCGCCCCTCTTGACAGAAAGCTGGGGAGCTGAGCCCTGTCCAGGGGTAGCAGATGTAGCCTAAACAGAAAGCAGATGGGAAGCCTTGCAAGGACTGCAACTGAGGCTCCAGACCAGCCTTTCACAGGCTACAGGCAAAGCAGCCAGGCCTGGGAGGGAACACTGACCTGCTGCCTAGGGTAGACAGGGGCATCCAAATCCAGCCTAGATCCCTAATCAAGTGCACAGAGCAGAGCCCCAGACCCCTTTCTTCCCTACCTGTGTCCCTCTCAGCTGCTGTGAGCAGGAGGAGCCCACATACTTCGCCATCTGGGGCGACAACAAAGCCTTTAACGAGGTGATCATCTCACCAGCCATGCTCCATGAGCATCTGCCGTATGTGGTCATGGAGGGGCTCAACAAGGTGAGTGCAGGCGGGGCTCATGGGTGCCCTACAGATTGAGTCCCTGTATTCCTCCTGAAGCTCGGCAGCCCAGCCACAGTCCCCAGCTGGGCCCTGGTAGTCAGAAAGACCTGCAATCTTTCCACTCCATACTCCTGGCTATTTCCACACATCACATTGCTGCATGGTAGGGAAGAGGGAATTTAGAAGATTCCTAGGGCCCTATTCCTTGGAAAAGTCGAACTGAGAGCCCTGGAGGCCAGTTGGCCATTACCAGATATGTAGCCAAGTGGCAACAGAACCTTCCTTCATGGGCCACCAAGGGACTAGAAAGAAGAGTACTCCAACGTGGCTACTTGAGGGACAAGCATCCCATGGCAAGTCCCAGGCCTTCCACAAAGAAAGGGGACCCACTGAGCCATCAGGCTATTTGCTCTGGAAAGCCACAGGGCTGGGCTGGCCACCCCTCTACCACAAGCCCCACCCCACCCCCATCCTGTCCTCAGGTGCTGGAGAATTACAACAAGGGAAAGACAGCACTGCTTTCTGCTGCAAAGGTCATGGTGAGCCCCACTGAGGTAGATCTCACTCCTGAGCTCATCTTCCAGCAGCAGCCGCTGCCCACGGGACCACCTCTGCCCACCGGCCTGGCCCTGGAGCTGCCTGCCACAGACCATCGCAACAGCAGCGTCAGGTGAGTCTGGCATCCCCACTCCACCCCAAGGGAGTGTGATTACAGAGCGCATAGTTGTGCTCCTGTACATCCACGCATTCTGTGTGCCTGTTGGGCCCATGCATATCCCCGGAGCTGTGTCCATATGCTCAGCGTGGGAGTTAAACTCTGCTCAGGTTCTTGCTCACCCTGCTTTGGCTGTCTCTCACCTTGTCATCAGTGTCTGGGGCCAGGGAGGGGGGTATTTCCAGGGAGTCTGGGAGGTTTCAAGGCACACACAAACCTACATACACCAGACCTAAACACTGATTTGCCCATTCCCCCTTAGATCCAAACTGATACGCTTCTGTGTACTTACACAGCTGTGCATATTTCTTGGGGCTTATGACAAGGTGTTTTCACAAGTACACAGAATGCCCCACACAGGTCACACGCACACCAAGGCAGGCAGAGCGTACATGGCTGTGGGCACACTTGGATAGGGAGACATGTAAACATAATGGCTGTCCCGTGCCAGAGCCACAGCACACAGCTACAAGTGGTCCAGCTGCACGTAGGCACCAAGGCATGCACATGGAGTCACGGATGTGCACACGCTTCATGGTGGGCTCTGGAGCACTGCCTCTTCCAGAGGAAGGTTGTCCTGCCTTTCTGAGACCCTGACTCCCAGACCCTGCTTTCTTCCTTATAAAGCTGGCTACTGCGAAGTAGGATGTCACTGAGTCTTGGTCTTTGCTAAGGAACCCCCCCCCACGCCCTGAAACACCCTTCCCTGTGTGTTTCCTGTGGTGGCGACATGTCTCCATGAAGAACCCAGTGTCTGTCCTTGGCCAGTGTACCTGAGGCAATCACCCATTTCCCAACTCCTCCTCCCTTCCCAACAGCAAAGTGGCTGCAGAGTTTGCTGCGCCTGTCCAGCATAGGGCTGTATCCTGGAGAAACCCGGGATGAGGAAGGGATAGAAGAGGCACTGGGAAGTGCTGGCCTGAAAGTTGGGGGCTAGAATCCCTCTTCCCTCCCTCCCTGATCTCTTTCCTTCCCTGTCTCTCCGTCTTTCCCTCTATGTCTCCCATTTACTGTGTCCTCATGAGTGAGCCAGAGCAGCCAATCTCTTGATGCCGTAATAGGCTAGTACCATAATGAGTATGAATGCATAGGACTCAGACTCCTCTGGGAATCTTAGTGCTCTTGGTGGGGTCTTAGGCCCTTTGGGGACCTAAGTTAGTCCTGTCCACCTAGTTAGTGTCAGCCTTTTGTTTTCTATCTTAGCTTCTTATGAGTTGGGTTTATTCTCTTTTAGATTTATTTTTATTATTTTCTATGAGTATGCATCTATGACAGCATCTGTACACATATGTGTAGGTGCTCTTGGAGGCCAGAAGAGGGCATTGAGTCCCCTGGAGCTAGAGTTACTTGGGGTTGTGAGCCACCTAATATGGGATGGGTAGTAGGATCTGAACCTATGTCCCCATGACTGGGCCATATCTCCAGCCCGATGAGTTGGCTTTTATTTTTTATTTTTAATTAATTGTTTATATGTATGGGCGTTTTTCCTGCAGGTATGCCTGTGTACCATATGCATGCCTAGTGCCCTTGGAGGTCAGAAGAGGGTGTTGAATCTCCTGGAACTGGAGTTACAGGTGGCTATGAGCTACCATGTGGGTGCTGGGAAACGAACCCAAGTCCTATAGAAGAACAGCCAGTCCTTTTTTTTTTTTAGATTTGTTTATTTATTTATTATGTATATAGTATTCTGCCTGCATACATGCCTGCAGGCCAGAAGAGGGCACCGTATCTCATTATAGATGGTTGTGAGCCACCATGTGGTTGCTGGAAATTGAACTCAGGACCTCTGGAAGAACAGCCAGTGCTTTTAATTTCTGAGTCATCTCTCCAGCCCCAGCCAGTGCTTTTTTTACAGCACTGAGCCATCTCTTCAGATTCTATGAGTTGGTTTTCAAAAGTCAGGATTCTCTGCCCCAAACTATTCAACAAGGACTGAACTAATTCTGTCCTTGTCCCCGCTTCCTTCTAGCCTGGGAAGTAGGGGTCAGTCTCCTCTGTCCTTCTGAGTCTTATCCTTATGCTCTTCCTCTGCAGGAGCAAGTCCCAGTCTGAAATGAGCCTGGAGGGCTTCTCAGAGGGGCGGCTGCTGTCCCCAGTGGCTGCTGCATCAGCAGCCCGCCAAGACCCTGTCGAGCTGTTGCTGCTGTCCACCCAGGAGCGGCTGGCAGCAGAGCTGCAGTCCCGGAGGGCACCACTGGCCACCATGGAGAGCCTCTCAGACACTGAATCACTGTACAGCTTCGACTCACGCCGCTCCTCAGGCTTCCGCAGCATCCGAGGCTCGCCTAGCCTCCACGCAGTACTGGAGCGTGACGAGGGCCACCTCTTTTACATCGACCCGGCCATTCCAGAGGAGAACCCATCCCTCAGCTCACGCACAGAGCTTCTGGCAGCCGACAGCCTGTCCAAGCACTCGCAGGATACCCAACCCCTGGAGGCAGCTTTGGGCAGCGGAGGTGTCACTCCTGAGCGACCACCAAGTGCCACCAATGAGGAAGAGGAAGCAGCGGGTGGCGAGGGTGGTGGGGTGGCCCCCCGAGGAGAGCTGGCACTGCACAATGGGCGCCTGGGGGATTCGCCCAGCCCTCAGGTGCTAGAATTTGCCGAGTTCATTGACAGCCTCTTCAACCTGGACAGCAAGAGCAGCTCCTTCCAGGACCTCTACTGCATGGTGGTGCCCGAGAGCCCCACTAGTGACTATGCTGAGGGCCCCAAGTCCCCCAGCCAACAGGAAATCTTGCTTCGGGCCCAATTTGAGCCCAATCTGGTACCCAAGCCCCCACGGATCTTTGCAGGATCTGCTGACCCCTCCTCTGGCATCTCACTCTCACCCTCTTTCCCACTCAGCTCCTCAGGGGAGCTCATGGACCTGACACCCACAGGCCTCAGCAGCCAGGAGTGTCTGGCCACAGACAAGATCCGGACTTCCACCCCCACAGGCCACGGGGCCAGTCCTACCAAGCAAGATGACTTGGTCATCTCAGCACGCTAGCACCTGGCAGTGGCTGCCAGCACCTCCCCTATCAGAACTCAAGGCCTTGTGGGTACCTAATGGCCACTTGGGGCCCAGTAGCTTTGAGGAGAGGCTCCCAGGGGCCAAGTGGCCTCAGGCCCTGGAGCACTGCTGCTGAGCAGGGGGTCCGCATCCCTACCTCAGCCTAGGACCCTCAGAACCAAGATGTCTGGGAAAAGCAGGGGTGGGTTTGGTACAGGGAGGAGACTTCAGGTTGGATGGCCAGTCCTCAGCCCTCAGCCTGACTCCTCTGTGTGGGCAGCCTGGTATCTCTGTTCTGGGAATGGCACTAGGCAAGCTAGCTTCCTGTCACTGCCCTCCAGCTACTCTCCCAGAGCCGAGGCAGAAAGCAGCCCCCTCTCCACATACTCTCCTATGTCGTTCAAGTTGGCACCTGCCCTGGCCACTATCCCCCAGATCTGGTGCCTGCTGGCCAGCCCCCTGGGGTGATCCCCACCAAGGTGGCCCGCAGTGCTGTGTATGTTTACAGAAATCTGCTGGGCTTGGCTCAGGTTGTATCCTGGGCTTGCAAGCCCCCACCCCCAATCATGTGTTAAGTTGTCCCCTGTGAGTGGGACCTGAGGACCAGAGGGGACTGGAGGAAAGTAGGGTCAGGGCCACCCTTTCTCTGCCTGGTGCCCCTTATCTTCATGGATTCTGGCTGCTGGGCCTGCCTGCCTACCTGCCACTCACTCCCTGGCTTCCTGGCTCACCTTCTGCCCCCCAGGACTCTGGCCATTCAAAGGGTGGTGGGCACTCCTGTGACATCACCCCTGGCTGCAGAGTCAGGGCCCTGGGAAGAAAAAAAAGGCATCCAAAGCCCCGTATCTTGGGCATCCTGCCTGCCTGACCCCTTTATGTTACCCCACCATGCCTAGGCAGCTCTGGGCCCTGGGGTCTGAAACCAAACATGCCTCTGCCCACTTGCTCTCCTGGCTACTTAGCTCCTTTCTGGGTCTGGGCTCCACCTCCCACTGTGTCCTGCCCATAAGAAGAGGAGCCAAGAGCAGGGTATCATGAGTCCTGGCTGGAAACCCCTGTCTACTGCCAAGGGGAGGGGCCAGGGACTCAGGCTGTCCCAGGTTAGCCTGAGGCCTTCATAGGTTTTCCTGTGGTTTGGAGAAGCAGTCCAGGAAGTAGGAACCTAGCCTTTCCCCAAGCTGGGGTGGGGAGGTTGTGCATGCTAGTGTCGGGTGTGTGCGTGCATGCGCGTGAATGTGCACCACTCCTAAGGAAAGGGGCTGCAGAGGGCTGCCCGCCTTCCCTGCCTTGCCTGCCTCCTGATGCTCCTAACCTGCCAAGAATCTAGCCTGTGAAGCAAAGCCTTGGGACAAGCCAGTTACTTGGGTGTGCAGGCAAGCCACTGCCCACTTGTGCCCTTGTCTCCTGGGAAGCAAGGTCCCTACCACTCCAGCCCCACTCACAGCCTCTCTAGGCTCCCCTGACCACCTCGTGATCACTGGTATCTGGGCCTGAGCCCCAATTCTAATCCCCACAGCTGGGTGGCCAAGGATGGCTATCCACCCTAACAGATAGAGGACAGAGACCTGGGAGCTGGGCCTCCCTTTACTCTGAGACTCCCCACCTCACCAGACTTTTTGCTCCCTGCCCCCTGCCAAGGCAGTGCCTCCACCTAGCACAGAAGTAAGATAAAAATCAGTGGTTCTTAGAATTCACGTGTTAGACAAAAATCTTAAATCAGAGAAACAATGCAACAAGCACCCCAGCCAGCAGCAGAGTTGTGGATCTGGCCTTTTAACTCTTCCTCTGCCAGGGTAGGTGTGGGGGGCTCCTCTAGGGTGTGCCCCTATGCCCAGGACTGAGCCATCAGGGACACCCCCCCCCCCCCCAAGGCTGCAGCCATACTGTGTTACAGGCTTGGGGCTGGGGCAGGCTTGGACTCAGCCCTAGACACCCAGGGCCAGCCCACCCCTCCCCTGTCCCCTCCCTGCCTGACCCCAGAAAGGTGGGCCTGCTGCACATTCCCATCACCCCATGCCACATCTGGGGGGGGGTCTGAGCCACCCCCTTCATCCCAGTTCGGATTGACCCCCACCCACACTGTCCCCCGGACCTGCAGCACAAGCTCTCCCAGCCAGGCGCTGGCCTGTCCTCCCAGGGATCTGGGGGACGTCCATATGCAAACAGTAGCAAGCAGCCAGGCCCCCATAAACCCTCTGCACCCCACGTGCCATTCTCCCATGACTTTTTTGTACTTAATGTATGAAAGATCCACACTAATATTGCTGTAAAAAGGAGAGACAAATCAATATAGCTTATTCTATAAATATATCTGTATATAAAGTTTTCTGTATATTGTATAGAGCTGTGTATAAACTGGACGTAAAAGCACACCTCTGCCTTGTGTGGTCATCTTTTCATGGGGGGGGGCAACGGGGCCAGCATGGGCAGGAGAAGGGGATGAGGGCCTCTGAGACCATTCCCCAGATGAGCCAGAAAGCATGAGGGGAAAACTTGAGGAGCCATGGGATCAAGCCTTTTGTCCCCCCCCCCCCCAAAGAGAGAAGGCAGGTAGGGCTGCCTAAGAACAGCCCAGTGGGATAGAACTGTGTGACTCAAAGTTGGTACAGTTCCCCGTGGTTTTGTTCAAATGTAAGTGCTAAGCCAGCAAGAATCATGGGGTAGGTGAGAAGTGACTCCCACGAAACTGTCCTTTGACTTCCACAGGCATGCACTGTGACATATGTACACCCGCCCACCCCAAAATAAATGCATAAACATAATGCAAGTTTAAAATAAAACAGATGTGGTTCACCGGGTTAGGGAGAACCCTATAGTTTTCACTGGCCTCCTGCCGTGTCAGTGCCCAGACCCAGGACAGCTCTGAGTCCCACCAAGCAGGCAGAAGTCCTCTTGAATCCCAAGTGCATGAGAGCAGCTGCTTGTTGAGTCCTATGTAAGATATACTGGGGAAGGGTTTGGGTCTCCCACGTAGTACCCTTGAAGCATGCCGTTATTCCGTCCCAGAGGGCACTGAGACTCAAGAGTAGGTAACCTGCCCAGATGTAGAACCAGCAACTGGAATACCAGGCCCACCCACCCTCTGCCTCCCACCCCATGCTGTGAGCTCTGGCAGGAATGGGAAACCTAGAGAGGTAGCATTGACGTGTTGAAGCCACTAGAAACTTCACTGAGGGACCCTCTGGAGGACCCAGCCCAGCCTCGATCCAGGCAGTGCCGAGCATCCTGCCAGCCTCAGGCCCTGAAACTTCTACACAGCAGGGGGCGCTGTTTCTCCAACTAGACTAACTGGCCTGCAGAGCCTGGTGTAGACACCCTGGCCCAGCCAAGTCTTGACTCCACCTCCTTCCCACTCAGACTGCCCCCACAAGTCCAGTAAGACCCCACTTGATGGGGAGCTAGTGCTAGTGGCCTTGAAGGCTGCCTTCCCCTGACAACCCCTGAACAGCAGAGGAAACCTGCTGTGGGTCACACAAGAGGTACAGACAGACGTAGGACCTGCAGAGGTTTGTCCTAGCCTAGGACCCTCACCTTGTAGAGGTTTCCCTCTCACTAGTCTGCAAATGGTCCTGGCTCTAATGGAGCAAAAGCACAGCAGATGGCCAGAGAGGTACTGTGGCTTGCTCAGGGTCATATAGCAGATGGCAACCATCTCCACAGACGACAAAGTCTGATACAAAAGTCCTCCCAGGCTACTTTACCAGGCCCAGCTCCTTAACCATGTGGTGGACCCATCTGTGCTTGAACCCCAACTTCATCATGGTGTCTAAGTCTCCTACTTCATCCCAGCCCAGACATGAGAGGCCCCGGTGTGGCTGCTCTTTTGCTCTGTGGCCCTAGTGGAATAAGGAGGTGGCAGAGCCAGCTCCCGTGAGATTAAAAGGGGCGTGCACCCTGACTGGACTAACCTCAGGACTACCCTGGATTTGAAAGATATTGTTTTTATAGTATGGTGAATCAACCCATCCTCAGCCCTTGACGACCTGACAAGCTCAGTCCTGAAGTCACCAGCCCGCCCTGAGACAGTAGACATTTAGGCTTGGGATGTATGTGTGGAGTACGCAGGAAAGATCTTTGGGTAGTTGGAGTCTAAAAGGGATGTTATTTCTCTAGTGGTCCCAGGCAACTCAGGAAATAAATCCATCTTTCAAAGTTGCATGGCATGACTGGGTGTTCACTTGGTCTGCAGGCAGGCCTGACCCTGGTTGGAGGAGGGGCTGGAGTGCAGAAAAACAATTGTCTTAGGGGAGTCTGCAGAGGGGACAAACCTCTGGGTGCATGAGCTGGAAAAGAATGGGCCGCTCAGTGTGGCCCCCTCCCCCCTCGGTGGGGGCCACGGCTGGGAAGGGGGAGCCGTGGTCAGTGCCCACAGCTGGGCCTCCAGCAAAATCCCACTCTATATACCTAAGAGAGGCCGCTCTGAGAACCGCCCCCAGAGGGACAAAACCTCATTGTGAAGCACCCGCCAGCCTGGGCACCCCCTCCCCCACGCCCTCCTCGGAGGGCCACCACAAGCCTGCTGACTGGGCCACATCTGGAGCTCAGGCTCTGGCTGCCCTTCCCCCATGCTGGCCACTGAGAAAGAGGGAGGCAGGATGGGTGACAGAAGAGCTCACGGGGTCTCACTACCTGCAAATCTGGGCTAGTTCCCCACTTTAGTCTGACATCCACTGCCAGGAAGAGTCAAAGTTCTAAGAGTTCTAAGCTGGCTGGGTTAGTATCTTGATTAGATAACAAGTTCCCCCACTCTTCTGGGCTGTTATTGGTGTTGTGTGTGTGTGTGTGTGTGTGTGTGTGTGTGTGTGTGTGTGTGTGTGTGTTGTGAGACAGGGTCTCACTTTGTAGACCCCACTGACTTTATACTTGCAATCCCCCTGCCTCAGCATCCCCAGTGCTTTGATTACAGATATGTACCCCCGCATGCTGCAGGGACCACTCAATTTCTTCTTTCTCCAACAGGAGATACAGCGGGGTAGGTCTTTCTGGTTCTGACTTGCTGTGCCTAAGGCTCTTGTGAGGCTATGCACTGAGTCACTCTGTAGTGGGATGATTTGATGGCTCTGGGATTCCAGAATTCTCTGCCTCTAAGCCCAGGGTTCCGAAGTTTAGATTCCTTTGTTCACTCGTTCAACTCACTTCCTGCACCCACTCTGTGCCGGGGGGGGGCAGGTGGGTTTTGTTGGTATGTTTGTTCTTTGGTGTGGAAGTTACAGCAGTGACCTCCGAAGGCTTTCCACGAGATGGAGAATAACGGGAACAAAGTTAGAAGCTGCATCCATATGGAGGTGAGGAAGGCTGAGGTGGAGAGAGCTGCTCTGGAAAGAGTACTGATGTGTGCTCTGAGGCCTGGTACATGAAAAGAACTAGCCTTTTGGGAACAAGCATCATAGATGAACTAGCATGTGTCATGGCCCTGGGGCAGAGGTGGGCCTGGCATGTTAGGTGATGGCAAGAGGTCTTGGTAGAGAGAGAATCCAAAGTCTGAGAAACAAGAGTAAGAGGTTTACATATTGGTGTGAGTGAGGGGAACCAATGTTTTTTTTTTTTTAATGATTTATTTATCTTATGTGCATTGGTGTTTTGCTTACATGTATGTCTATGGGAAGGCAAAGGTTACCCAGAACTGAAACAACAGAGAGCTGTGAGCTGCCACGTGGGTGCTGGGAGTTGAACCTGGGTCCTCTGGAAGAACAGCCAGTGCTCTTAACCGCTGAGCCATCTCTCCAGCCCTGGAACCAATGTTTTTAATCAAAGGTGTGGTATGATTTGATTTCTTCTTCTTCTTCTTCTTCTTCTTCTTCTTCTTCTTCTTCTTCTTCTTCTTCTTCTTCTTTTGATTTTTCAGGACAGGATTTCACAGTAGCTTTGGAGCCTGTCCTGGAACTTACTCTGTAGACCAGTCTGGCCTCAAACTCACAGAGATCTACCTGCCTCTGCCTCCCAAGTGTTGGGATTAAAGGAGTGCGCCACCACCGCCTGGCCTGACTTTTGCTTTATGAAGAATGATTTGGGAGGGCTGCAGAAGAATCGTGCAGGCATGCAGGAAAGATGCTCTGTAGTGGAGTAAGAAGGAGGTGAGAAAAAGCAAGAGTCAGGGAGTGGCCTCATTCCCTACGTGATTTCAGAGCACGCCTTCATCAGGTAGGGCAGTGGGGGTCCACATATGATTCTCATTAAACTCTGAACCCTGCCGACCTTGAACTCATCCACTTGCACTGTCCAATACCACCGTGATCCCACATGACTAATTAAGCTCAAACTAAAATAAAATCAGACTCAAAAGTCAGGTGTTCAGGCACCAGCGCCACATGCCATGTGTTCAGCTGCCACTGTGGCTAATGGCAACACCCAGAGTATTTCCATCAACCCAGAAAGTTCTATATAGAAGCGCTTCTTTAGATGGGACACTCAATAAGCCTTGGTTTCCTCATCTGTAAATGAAAATTATAATAGTTCCTTCCAGCTGGGTGTAGTAGTGAACGTAGAAGGCAGATAGCGAGTTTCCCAACAGCCAGAGCTACATAGTGAGATCTCATCTCTGGGGGAAAAAAGTTAGTGAAGACCTGCCCCGATTGACTGAGGCAACACACCTGTAGAGTAAGTACTCTGCCAGCCTAGAACTTTACAAACATTCATTTATGCATGCACGTTGCTTTCACTGGGATAAGGTGGGTACCAAAAGGCATAGGAGCCATCTCTGAGATGTTTCTGAAAAACCTTAGGTTCGTAATCTGGAACCTTACCCAGGCAAGGAGAGAGTGAAAAGAGGCTGATCTCTGCATCAGTTCCCAGCGACTTCAAGGCGAGAGTTGCGCGTCGCGCGCTCCCTGCAGGCGACGCGGCGTCCTGCTTCTCGAGATCGTGGCTCG